GGGGGGTATGTCGGAAATTTGAAAGTTTTGTCTGAAATTTAGGAGGTTTTGGCCCCCCACCGGAAAAGTGAATTTCCGCCACTGGTTTACAACATTTCGCAACCAAACTTTGCAATCTGACTAATTTTAGTTCCTAGCTGTGGTGATGGATTTTGTTCTTCTTGTCCAGATCAAAATTTAGTCTATAGCTGGAATTGCCTATTGTCTCGAACATTTTTATGTAATATTATTAGTCTTATTAATACGTAACAGGATCGTTTCTCGTAAAATTTGGATAAAAACAAGCACTCGTGAGTTGTTCAAAGACCTCAAATATCACTCGTCCTTCGTGACTCGTGCAAGTTAGTCCATGTGTCAGGTGACCTCGAAAAGTGCCTAGAAAACGATTTTCATGAACAATGAAAAAATTGTGTTCTGAAATTAGTGAAGATAAAATAGCATTTTGTGAAAAAACTGCGGGTCTACGGAGTGGGAACTTTTAGGATTTGAACTCAGCGTGTTCGAAAGTGTTAGTTTCCGTAAAAATATTTCAAATCTAAGACATGCTTAATGAAAGTGAACAACACACGGACTACATGTTTTATCCTGCTAATCAGTTTTGCACATGGCAAATTTTGACTAACTTTACATAAGGGGAGGACCACTAGAAATCCCGGGGGGAGGGGGTATAACATTTTTGCGTCACGATTTTTTTTTCAGTCTCATGCCTCTGCAGGTTTTTTTTTATGCGTCAGCCTCTGCAAGAATTTTTTTCAAGACTATTTGCACTTTGCTGTTTGCGTGCACGATTTTTTTTTCTCTGACTGATGGCTGAGCGAATTTTTTCCAGGCATTTTTCTTTGCACGAACTTTAATTTGGGAATTTTCACCTCCCCCCCCACTCCCGGGACTTCTAATGGTCCGCCCCCACTGTCCGCCCGTGAAGCCCTGGGCAAACTAGGAAACATTGTTGCGGAAACATTTGTGATTCTCGATGTTTCCTCAACTGTTTCCATGTTTGCCCACCCGTGGAAACATTGTTGCGGAAACAAAATTTGCTTCCCGGGAGGCAAAAATGTTTCCTATTAAATTCAGAAACATTTGATGTTTCCCTTGTTTCTCACTAATGTTTCCTAGTGTTTGCCCACTCTGGGAAACATGGCGAAACGTTGGTAGGAAACAATGTTTCCGCAACAATGTTTCCTAGTTTGCCCTGGGCTTAATGGACCATTTGCAGGGGTCAGCCTGTATCGCATCCTAAATACCTGATAAATATGGATCAGAATACATATTATTAGTTTTATTACGGTCCAAATGTTACAAAATACCTAAAACAACCAGAAGCTGTATACCTAATACCCATTTAAGTAAATATACAGTATACTCAAATTAAATACCCATTAGATCCTGTATACCCAAAACCCCTTGGCCCTATGATTTTGATCTAAACAAGTCTATATCGACAAAAATTTCATCACAGCTTGAAAGAGCATCACAAAATTTAATAGTAATATTCCAAAGTTTCATTGCGAAATGTTGTAAAATGCGGATAATATAGCCTTGTGAAGTTTGCCGTTTTCAATCATTTTGTATTACAAATGGGAATTTAATTGACAGCCCCAAAGGGTATCAGGGGCTTTCAATTTCCCACTTGTAATTTACAAAATGACTGAAAAACGGCAAACTTCGCAAGGCTATATTATCCGCATTTTACAACATTTCGCAACGAAACTTTCGAATATTACTAATTTTGTGATGCGCTTTCAAGCTGTGATGAAATTTTTGTCTAGACTTGTTTAGATCAAAATTTAGTCTATAAAAGTCTATAACGCAAATGGTCCATTCGCTCGAGCGATGTGAGATCAGTGTGTGAGATTGGTAACGAGAATATGTCCATGGTTGTCACGTGTACTCTCCCGCCAAATCATAGATTATCTATGGCCAAATTATCGTTTCTAAACTTGCACAAAATGGAGTGAGATTTATACAAATTTATCCGTTTGAAATATTGTGTTTTTAAACTCATTTTCTGCTGTAACTTCCGGACAATGTATATTAAACAGGTAAGAATCAATATACTCTTTTATATTGCAATAAAATAGCTTTGCTGGTAAGCTAGGAGGCTGAATGCATCGAGTATAATTCAATATGTCAAACGTGTGTCAGCGACTCAGCGTTTCTGTATTTTGCTTTGTTTCTTAGAGGTTTTCATTGTTGCTATGAGCCCTTTTATTGAGTATAAGGAAATTACTAGATGTAGTTACTGTGTATTTCCAAACGTGCTGGATTTAACAGTTTTATTAATGGTTGAAGAAGCAAAAATTACAAAATTAAATGGCTATTTCATCTTGCCTTGTTTATATTTTGTTGGCAGGCAAATGTTTTTGCAAAGCTCGTTTCATCATATTTGCTATGAACACTGTTGAATTACAATCAGCTGAACATAATGTTTTGTATATTCGGAATTTGCCTACAAGCGAAACGTGAACAAGACAAAATGTCTGTGACCTTTGTTTGTAAATTACTAAATGTATGGTCAAACTGAGTAGTCAAAGTACATGTATATGCAGGTTTACCTGCTGCAATTTGTTGTGCACAATATGTATTCTGGTATACCGTAAACCTCCGACTATAAGCCCCCGAATATAAGCCCACCACATATACTAACGCTCACCTAATTCCGAATATAAGCCCCCCCCCAATATAAGCCCACCCGAATATAAACCCCCCAAATATAAGTCCCCCGAATATAAGCCCAGTAGCCAGGCAATTGCCGTAGAGGGAGAACAAAATCCCGTGGATCATTGCGACAACGACGGCAATTTTTTGCCGTATAGTGTAATTTTTATACTATTCACTGTGCATTACTACTTTGATACTTGAATTCAGACGTTGATCAAATCATGCGTAAATCACGAAAAAAAAACACTAAAGAAATACGTAGACATGTTTCTAGCTTGTCAAAAATCCAAAGTAACAATAAAATTAAAGTTTTATTACAGTAATTCAATTGAAAAATGCCGTGGAAACTGCCAAAATTGCCGTAGACAGCTGTTACGGCAATTTTTAACGCCATTGCCATCGATTGATTTCAGGGAAATTCGAGGCCTGCCAGTAGCCCACTACGTTATTCAACATTGACATCGTCTTTTAATATAGCAGAGAACGATATTTAAAAACATTGTCATTGTCTTCATAGCCGACTATGTGAATCAAAGCATGTTATTAATACACGTTTATTTTCCTGTTTATGACTGACTTGTTTATGTCTGACTTGTTTATTACTAACACAAAAAATCGTCCATATATTAGCCCCCCCCCCCCTGTATATAAGCCCCCCTTGTATAAGCCCATCAAAAATTGCTTATGACAGTATATAAGCCCACCTGGGGCTTATAGTCAGAGGTTTACGGTATGTAATCAAGTAAGCACAAAGTAAAGTGGTTGCATTTCAAATTTTTGCCAATAATGTATAGCAGTAATTTTCGTATGCCAGGATACAAATTGTGAATGACATGACCCCCTTCCTCTTTCAAATGTTCTAGCAAATTTTGCTATTATAAAAGTGAATTTGCCCCCTTCTCCATCGCGATGGCGAGATCATTTCATTGGGGGCGGGATCTTTTCTGGAATGCATGACCCAATGGACACAACAATGCTCTCCATATTGTTCAAGTTTGACAGCATTTTCCCCCTAAAATGACAATTTCAAGATGCATATTCGTATAGGTAATCATGCGACATCTGGCGAGTACAATTAGGGATTAATAGTACGAGTGATGTTTGGAAATTTTGCCAAAATTGGACGAGCTGCCGGGGCGAGTAATATATCCCTAATATATCACTATAATTAATCCCTAATTGTACGAGCAACATCGCATGATTACTTGTTTATTATTAACATGACAAAATTGGATACTAATTCTCTATGTCAACATCATATTCTCTCGCCAAAGCCCAGTCCTGCCAGACTTTCAACCAAAAATTGGTGCTTTTGTTTGTATTTTCATTTAGTTCCTCTATGGCAATTTCATTTCACATTTGTGTTTAAAATACCTGTCCTGTTTGTTTTGGGAAAATCATTAGTTGTACTGCAGCACAATTAATGATGGTAATAGAACGAATAGGAGTGATATTAGTATAGGTTTTGTTTGTTTGTTTGTTAAACTTTATTGAGTACAAATTAATTCAACAAATATTCATCTAACATACAATTAAAAAGCTGTACTCAAACGGACAAGGCACAAACTGGACGTAAAGTCCATTGCATGGTGCCCCTCCTCTTCCTAACATAAACCTTTTAATTCGCAGTATACTGTATACAGGGTGTCCCAAAAAACCCAAAACCACTGAAACAACGCACTGCCAGAATCCGAACGCCTCAGCACCAACTGAACGCAAAGATACGTAAATATGATCGACATGATGCATATAATATGAGTATTGAAGAAATTAAAATATCTTTGTAAGCTCACGATTATCTGCTCTTTGGAATTTAAAGGTAATCATGCGATGGCGAGTACAATTAGGGATTAATAGTACGAGTGATGTTTGGAAATTTTTAGGGATGAGCCGATAAGGAAAATTGCCGATTACTGCGGCCGATTATTTATAAGCCGATTATTGTAACTAATCGGCCAATTAATCGGTACCAACCGATTATTTTAAAAAGCAAGCGAAAAATCACAAGATGACCAACAATGAAGTTGTAAATGCGGTTTTATTGTTTACAATACACACTTTGTACAATTAAAAACAGCTTCAGTCTTTCATGTCAATAGTCAAAGTTTTAGTTTTGACAGATTATGGTGTAAAAACAAGGCACTGTCAGCTACGCGGAGCTAGTCTGCTGCGTTTTTTTAGTGGAAATGTTCCCAGCTTCACTTTGCTTGAGACAAAAGACACAGGTTTTGCAACAAAATGTGAAAATCTATTCGCTTGTATTCAGTATTTTAGCATGTGATTGGCAGCTGCAGAAAAGGTCTTATAATGGCCGATTATTTGCCGATTATCAGGCAATAATCGGCCGATTACCGATTATTAAAAAAACGGCCGATTAATCGGCTTTGCCGATTATTTACCGATTAATCGGCTCATCCCTAGAAATTTTGCCAAAAATTGCATGATTACTTGTTTATTATTAGCATGACAAAATTGGGTACGTACTTCTCAATGTCAACATCATATACTCTCGCCAAAGCCCAGTCCTGCCAGATATTCAACCAAAATTTGGTGCTTTTGTTTGTATTTTCATTTAGTTCCTTTGTTAGAGCAAAATTTGGTGCTTTTGTTCGTATTTTCATCTAGTTCCTCCACTGCAATTTCATTTCACATTGGTGTTTAATTTAAAATACCTTTCTGCCATTTTGTTTGTTTTGGGAAAATCATTAATTGTACTGCAGTACAAGTAACAAAATAATTGTACTCCTCTCAACCAATCAGCATCCAGTAATTTTGTGATGCTAATAATAAATGCCATAATCATACGAGTGATTACAAAATCAACCGACCGCGTAGCGGGAGGTTTGTTTTCTTAATCACAAGTATGATTATGGCATTAATAGCACGACTTAATTCGTTCTATTACTTATTAATTATTTATCTTCTGTAATCAAACTGTTTAAGGGGAAAAAGCACAAATATACAATTTGTTGAAATTCAATATAACGACAATTGTTAGTGAAATAGTACAATTTTGAATTAAATTTATCATAATCAAATTAACATATTATTAACTTCCAGGTATTATATATATCTATATATCTATCTATCTATCTATATATATATATATATATATATATATATATATATATATATATATATATATATATATATATATATATATATATATATATATATATATATATATATATATATATATATATATATATATAAGCTTTGATATTAGGTATGGTAATGCCAAACGAAGTCTCCTCGAGGGCGAAGGATCCAAATAGGATTCACAGCAAGTACTGTCGTATATATATATATAACAATCAATTTAAAAATCAGAGACTATGCAACTTCGACCATCAATTAATTAAAAAAACTAAAACATACTAAAATAAAAGCTTAAAAGTTAAAAACGTTTCGGCAGTTCTGCCTTCATCAGTTTATCAGGATAAACTGATGAAGGCAGAACTGCCGAAACGTTTTTAACTTTTAAGCTTTTATTTTAGTATGTTTTAGTTTTTTTAATTAATTGATGGTCGAAGTTGCATAGTCTCTGATTTTTAAATTGATTGTTATATATATATATATATATATATATATATATACAGGGTGTATCAAAATAAACGCAATTCATCTTTTGTGCTTAATAACTTTCGAAATACTATTTCTAGTTAAACGCTTTTAGGCTTACTTCGAAGCCTGTTCTTTTCTCTTTCAAACAAACTATTATCCTTGTCTCCAATGCTAGTAATAATTGCACAGGAAAAGATTTAGTAAAACCTATCATTTTTAGTTGCTGTTTAATTATGCAAGTTTACTATATGTTATTGTTTAGTCGATTTAAATGTTAGAATTTTCTTCTTTAAACTTTAATGTTGTCGTCACTACATCTGGAAAACCACGTAAGAACAAATTAAAAGTATTTTACAAGAGACCAGGTTGTTTGAAAATCCTAAACGAATGCTAAAAATCGTCAAAACATTCTGGTGTCTGAGTGTCATCGAATTGCGATGTAATGTAAACAGAAATTATAGCAAGTTGATGTCAGTCAGCTTAGATGGTCCAAGCCAAAATTATATCGCATTTGAAGTTTCAAACTGAGTTAAAAATAGTGGAAGAAAAGCCGTAATTATACTTATTGTTACATTCCATTTAATAAAATGCAACATTTTTTTGTTTTAATGAAAAAATCAGTTATTTTCATGAGAACGATTTGTTATTCCATCTCAATTTTTTTAATCTCCAATCGCAATAACGTAAAGTATTATTATTCGCGAACCAATGAGTCAAATTTAAGAAACAACCCACTGTTAGAAAGCTGAATGGCTACGCTTTAAAATGAATGTAAACTTTAACGTTTTCGTCTATTATTTGTTTAGCAATTTCCATTTCAGTCGAGGATTGCGCTTTTTTTGATACACCCTGTATATATATATATATATATATATATATATATATATATATATATATATATATATATATACAACAGAATAGCTGGCTACGATCCGAGAGAAACCAATACTAAAAATGTTCTAAAGTAATAAAGTTTTAATTTTCGACTGAATGTCTCAGCCTTCCTCAGAAATAATATTACTAATAATTTCTAACGTATATATATACACCAATAATATGCAAATATTACAATAATGATAACTAATTAAGCTTAGAAATAGACAAAGAAGTCACTGTTGCACAAAATCATGACTATCATTTAACCCTCCCCGATTAGTCAAAAGGGTCCCAATCCAGAAGTTTTCACATTCCAACAGATTACCACAACGCTGATCAATCAGCATAAATTTCAAATATGAATGATCAGCCCCGTGGCAATCCAGGAAGTGATTAACAATACTACAAGTTCTGTGCCCACGCTTAATGTGTGACTTGTAGTTTGCAAGGCGGGCCTTAAAATTAACAGTAGAACCAACACCCTGCAAACCACAAGCCAAACATTCGGCAAGATATACCACTGCCTTGGACGTACATGTGAGCGATTTACAGATTTTAAAAACTTTCTTGGTAATAACGGAACGAAAAGTGTGCCCTTCTAACAAAAAATTCTTACAGCAGTCACAACGCTTTGCTGTACAATTAAAACAACCGAATTGTTCTACTTCAGTATTTTCCTTGCCATATGGGTTGGAGGGAGCCAATAACTCCTTTAAATTGGCGTTGCGCTTAAAAGACACACGAATAACCTTCTCGGGTAGAATATCTCTGGCCTTCTCATCACCACAGATAATGGACTTGTGATGTTTATTTATGATTTTTCGTATGTCTGGTCCACGCGGATTATACTTAGTAACTAAACAACAATATCCTTCATTGGACTTTTTCTTACTTTTGCGTGCATCTTCCCTAGAAATATTACCTACTTCTCTAAATTTATCTAAGACATGCTCTTTTTCGTGTTCGCATTCAATTAAATAATTAGCATATTCCGCACTTTTGGCACGAAAGTCCTCTTCCTTGGAGCATATTCTACGTAGTCTAAGCGCTACACCCTTTGCGATACCCAGTATATATATATATATATATATATATATATATATATATATATATATATATATATATATATATATATATATATATATATATATATATATATATATATATATATATATATAATTTCATCAAGTAATTTCCCGTTTTTAAGAATAAAGAGTGCTCAATACAGGACAATTGTAGAGCATATAATAATAATTTAATATTTTAATACAATTTTTCAATTGAATAAGTCGCTACTTTAAGTTTCATGCAACAAGCAATCACCCAACCTCGTTCCCAGGGTCTCTCCTTCTGTCATCTGGGAGAGACCCTGGCTGCGGCTGGTCACGTGCCTCCCAGATTCTGGGAGGTAAATTTAATTGTAACTGTGAGAGGGGTGAGAAAGGAGCGTGTTTGTAGCGTTTTAAAATTGCAACTTTGGGTGATGAAATTTACTGTAAATTTGCAACAAGAAATCGTAATTATAAAGAGAACTCTTGAATTAATATTTATGTCGTGACGTTCTACTCTATAATCTGGTGTCGAGTTACAATTCAAGCAAGTTGGATCAGATTTCATTATAGACTTGCCAAAGAAAGCACGCTTGCCGCTTGTGCAGCGTGGCAATATTAAACTGTGATTAAACCTACAAGGAAATATATATCTCTAGACCGAACAGTGTGGTTGTTATTTATTTAGTATTAAAGTTTATCCTGATACTAGGACCAAAAGAATTTATTTATTGATGAGATGTGGAATTGCAACGAAATAGCGAGATCTTTTGATTTCCGAAATATCGCCAACTGTATCCAGATTGTTGATCTATATAAAGGCCTTATCAAAAAACTTAAAGCCCGTCAAAAGACTATAAAATTGGCCCTTGGCATTGCTGAATCCAACGATCATGGTATATGTCAAAGTATAGCTGTCTGTTGAAAATCTACGGTATTAAAATCATACACCAAAGATAAGTCAAACGGCAAATTATATGTCACTGTATTATACATGTCTTTCAATGAGCACTGTTTAGTAGTGTTCACCACCTTTATAAATTTTGTAAACAGCTTTCGTTTTGACATGAATAAGCTTTAATTTTTTGCTTTATATGCATTCTTAATATATACAAGTGAGATTTAAATTTTTGCTTTGTGAAATAGAATACCGTTATTTTTTAATGGACAGCTTGCATCGTCTATATCATATCCAGGATTGCTTGTGTGTAAACGCATTATTCACTATATGACATTGACACTATCAAATAAATATAAGTAGCAAATGATTAATGAGTTAGAGATAAACAGGTGATTCACAATGAAAACTTTAAAAATGTTAGTAGAAGTAGAAAACTCGAAAATTTATGTCTATTCGTATGACGCCAAATGACGGTCTGTGCGCATCTGACACTGTAAATTTGTGATATAGATTATAGTATATTAGCACAATATAATGATTAATAGAGACCAAGAAAAAGGCTAAAGTCTTACTATAATTACCGAATACGAATTTATGTAGTAAATCCAGATAAATCAATGACTGAAATTTCCTCTATGCTTATGGACATTTCTCTGTTCGGCTATTATCAAATGTTTACATTTGCTAATATTTGGGCAGTCCTAATCTCCTAGACAATACTGTTTCTTTTAAAAATCTTATAAACAAGACGCGTAGTAACAAGTGAATCGGTGCAAAGCGTATCAACGTTTACAAGAAAGGACAAATGTAATGGCCTATTTTAAAAACATTACAACAAACGTTTGTTATAACCGCGCTCGAGTGTGAAGAGAGCATGCATTGAATAACAACACGAGAGAGCACTGCGAGTAACGATTTGCTTGGTTTCTTGACTTGACTGTAAGTAAGAATGTAACAATGTTCTTGTAAATTCAAAGCAAAGAAAATAAACAAAAATTAGCAAGTATTTTGAACGTAATAATTCGCAAAATCTATGTTTTTGACGAATATCCCGCTGGAAGCATGTTGATGTAATTTGATACTTTCCCCACACCCCCTCAGGCGCTAAATTTTTGATGAAGCACGTGACCAGCCGCAGCCAGGGTCTTTCCCAAAGAAAGATCCTGGGTACGAGGTTGGGGCTTGTTAACCCCCCAACTTTTTTAGAATTAACATATTCTTTTTTCAAAATCATGCACACCTTTGACAATTGATTAATTTTAAGCGGCTACTTTATCCATGACAAACCGCAAAGAATCATATTACCCATATTTTTCCTGCAACTTCTCCAATATATAGTTAATTAAATACGCCTTCACCCATTTAGTTCTACTAAATCGTAAGCAAATTGTAAATTTCGACATACTAAAAGTCTGTTTTCTGAGCATCAGAACTTCTGAGCATCAGAACTTGAGCGTCAAAACTTCCCCCAAAGTCCAGGGGCCGGTTGTATAAAAAAGTGATTAAAGTTAACTATAATTAAGTGCAAACGTCATCGAATAAGAAGCGCCTATTTAAGAGTTAATCACTATTTAACTACAAAATAGTGATTAAAAAGTGATTAAGAGTTTTATACAACCGGCCCCAGGAAATTGGCATTTCAGATTCTAAATTTAAAAACAGCCCCCCTCCCCCCTCCTCAATCAAAAAGAGCTTCCTACGGCACTGCTTCTGTATTATGTCTGTGCGTAAAATATGTGTATTTTTGTTTGAAAATTGCGTCTTCAT